AAGGACGACGCGGGGACTTATGGACCTATAATCCCAAGCTCCAATAAAATTAATAATTAATTAAACACTTTAATTAATTAATTAATTCTATTAATTCCAATAGTTACTCCACTATAAACTTGGAATTGAACTCTCAAAATTATAAACATTAATTACTTCTAAACTGCAAAGTGTCTATTTGATATAGTCATTACATATAAATCAATCCTCCATAAATAATTCATAATCTGAGTCAGGTAGAATCTGTTAACCTCTCTAATTATATCTGCATCCTTGAGTACCATTGATTCTCTAATGGATAGTGATTCATAAAACACATTTATGAACCAGAGCGCTCTTACTAATCCAAGTACCGAATCAACACTCAAGAGAATTATTTATCTACTTCTTTCTCAAGAAGGAATGGATTACATCTCGTACAATAACATTCCCAGCTACCTATTTCATTATGTCTCCAAAATACAAGGAATAGAATTCAGGGTCTCGGAATCCGTACTGAGTAAATCAAAAGACATAAATCCATAAATAGGAGTTTGTTAAGAACTCAGGATTAAGATCATCCTATATATGACCATCGGTAGACTCAATTATAATTTCTATGCTTAACGGAAATTATTAGAAATTCATATTGTGTCTTTGTCCTTGTTCCACATAATCTTATTATGCGAAATACACTCATTCAATATCTCGTCATATTAACAGTGCGGATAACATCGTTCCATTCTAAATGGGAATGACATGTATTAATAATGTTTTAATTAAAGATTCCGTACTTTAATTAAATTCATCATAAACAATGTTTTTTGATTATTATCCTTAAACACTATCCTCTCGTATATAACACTTATATACTATGTTTAAGGTTACATAAACAATCACGGAATTTTCATTTGATATTCATAAAATATTCATAAATATATGCACATAAAATGATGAATAAACTATTTTATTAATAAATAATAAATATCCTATTACATTTCATGCTTCTAGGATACTATTCCTAACAGGGATCCCACTCAAGTTCGGAGGAATCACCTGACCCGGTCCAAATCCGGCCGGAATCGGGTCCCTCCGTGTTGCAATTGCGTGTTGCAATCGCGCGTATCGGTCCAAGTCCCACCGGGATCTCTGAAAAATGTCTAACAGAGGGCATACCTCTGGGAGAAAACAACTTGTCGTTTGGAGAAAGTCCATACGACTTGTCATTTGGTGTGGAAGCTTTGAGTAAACTTGCTGATTGGCTTCGAAAAGGCTGAATGTGAGGTTGCTGTCGTATCCAGGTACTAGATGTCGTTCCCTTAGCCACCTTTAAGGCCATATTACGATCCTCCACCCTCTGAGCCAATTCAATGATCTGATTCAACCCAGTTCCCGATCCACCTCCGCCGCCGTCTTCCACCGTCCTCTTCGAATGGGACGAAGGTAGGTCCTCCAAAGTTCCCTTGATCCCCGGGCTCTTTTCCCCTTGGTTCCGCATTAATAAATCTAATTTTCCCAAAATTAACATCACGTTCTTTTCCCTGGCTGGAATCTTCTGTAAACCGCCCTTAACTCCGTCCATCTCCTTCGAAATTCCCTCCCACACCGCGCTCAACTATTCTTCCTCAGAACCTAGCCTCTCTTCCATCTTCTTGGCCGCCAGACTGATGCCGATTGACTCAGATCTAAGCGATATCGCACTAGATCGTGAAAAATTGCTTGGAGTGCCGTCGGCCTCACGCGATTCCAGATCTCTTCGCGTTTTCTCTAAGTTCATGCGTCAATTTTGACGTTCCAAATCTGGTTGCGACGGGCCACTGCCAGAAACACGAAGATCTGAAATCATTCCTACGTTCTGTGGCCAAACCTTCATATTCGTTTCCGAAAGCAATCTTTGTGTTGGTATGAAGCGTTGAAGCAAATTCATCTTGAATTCATTCCAACAAACAAATGGTCGTCTTCTATCTTCCCACTGAAACCAATCTAGTGCCTCATCTTCCATGAATTCCTCTGCGAACCAAATCTTTTCACGTTCTGAAAATTGATTTTTTTGATGATATTCTTCCACTTTTACGATCTAAGAATCTGGATATTCTCTTGAGAACATTGGCATTTCTAGTCGCTGCCAACGTCCACACGTTCCAGCCATTTCTATACCCAAGAAGGTGCTCTGATACCAAATGTTAAGCTCCTATTTCTCGGTTAGTAGTATTTTGACAGAATGCAAGGAAAAAAACTAACAGAAGCTTGATATTAATGGCGGAAGGTTGATTACAGGAAGATAAGGGGATTTTCGAGAGATCCCTTGCTCTCCTAGGGTTCCTTCTCTCGGAAGTTTGTACAAATGATTCGATGCCTACTTATCCTACCTCCTAAACTATTTATACTACTAACTCTTATTCCTCACACTAATTCTAAGAACTAACTAACTAGTAACTATTTAACAAACATAACAAACCACTAACTACTTATTATATTGATTACTAATTACTAACATAATCCTATCACATACACATTAGTGCAAAGCCAGCAGGCACTACCTTATCTCCATACACAGTACAGGAAATGGTAGATGGAAAAGAAGCTGCAAAGAGATTCAACGATGGTGTTTCTAATTCACAGTACTGGAGAAATGACGTCTCACAAAAATGACAGAAACATGGAGACGGAGATGGTAATAAGCTTTGCTTTAAATTTGTTTCCTCTGGCTCTTGTCCACGAGGGGAAAAATGTCACTTTCAACATGATGCGGATGCGAGGGAACAATCTATGAGGGGTGTTTGTTTTGATTTTCTCAACAAGGGAAAATGTGAAAGGGGTCCAGATTGCAACTTCAAGCACAACTTACAAGATGAAGGTGAGGGATATTCTCACAGGAGACGTGGATATGAAAATGCTTCAACTAACAGGTTGTTTTATTATCAACATGCTATTTTTCCGTAGATTTCAGTTTTAGTTTGGTTCATGATGTTTTTGTTATTCCTGTGATTACTTTGTTTGCAAACCATCAACTATGTTATAGTTGGACAGTCAAGGGTACTACTTCATGAAAAGTACCATTCCATCGTTGGTACTCTGTGTTTTCACGGTAAAATATTCATTTCATCAGCTACAAATGAAAAAAAAGTATAACAAATAATTGATTTGTTTATGGATTTCAGGATGAGAAATTTTTTATTTGGTATTCTGGACAAGAGGAAAGACAATTGAGAGTGAGCTCTATTATGATGACTATAAGCGGTAGAGCAGCCTCAGCCTGTCCCTGTCGCCGTATTGGGACCGCAGGCACTCGCTGCCCCGCCGCTCGCCTCCGCCGTTGTATAAGCGGTCGAGGAGGGACGATGGAGGGTACGATGGGAGGAGTCCTAGATGAGGGTTTGGACCTGGCGATAGAAGGTGAGAGGATTCTTCCTTGTTGTCTCTGCGATTTTGTGGTCAGTTTACAAGTGATTAAGCTTTTTCATGTTTAGTTTTCGGTGATCATTTTGCATGATTTGAGTTTTTAGTTCAAGTCGTGAACGAAAAAATTGTATTGCAATTTTATGGACGTTGGATTGAGCTTCTTGGTGAAGGGCATAAAACCTGAAAGTGAACATCGAATTGAGACTCTAGAAATTAGGACTTTGGTTTGGTTTGTGGATTTAGGGTTTCTCTCTTTTAATTGTGTTAGAGAATACTATGAAGTAATATTCTATTGTATTTGAACATGGGATCGATTTATGGCTCTATGATTCTCGACATGCTTGGCAGGTTTTCATAATATATGGAAACATCTACTTCCTTGAACCAATAAAGAAAAGGGATTGGAGTAATTTTTTTATGTGCTGTTTTTGGACTTTGAATGTTTTTCTTGGCTTCTTGCATCTAAGCATATTTCTTAAGCAAGGATGTTGTATTTTCTTTCTCAGAAATTAGGACTTTGAATGTTTTTGGACTTTCTTAAACGCACCAACAAGAGGTTTTTACGGGCTGGAATTGTGTGATTCTAATGAAGTTTTATTTGTGAATGGTGTAACTAGTCTTTGCTTTATTTATAGGTTAAATTGTGGAAGTTTTAGTTGAGTTTGATTATTATTTTGATAATGGATCACTTTCTTACAGGTTAAATAGTGGAGATGACTTTTTTGTTGAAGCATTTGGTCAAGATGGAAGGATTTACTTCACCATTGCACTTAGACGTTTTGGATACTTTGATATCTCCAGCTATTCCTCTGTTTTCTTTACTTGTTTTGAATATTAAGGTTTTGGACATTGTATGAATTATGTTGTTGACCTAATTTTATTGCTAACTTGGTAGATATTGATAACAATTGATATATTGAATGTTTTTATGTTTTAATTTGAATGTTCCTATTTAGATATATCACATATCTCAGAATTACCATTTATTTGAATGAATTTAAAAGGATATTAATAATAATTTTAAAAAGCTACAAGAGTATGAACATAACAAGGAAAAAAAATTATTAATCTGTATCGTAACCATGCTAAATAGCTGTAAAAGATTGAAAATAACTTGTCTTAAATGTTATAATACCTTAATTCTACAGCGCTTTCCATAACTCTCTTAAAATGTTATGTTTTCTTAGGATTTTTAATAGCGCCCGATGTCATAGCACTCTCAAAAACGCTATTATTAATAATTAATAGCGTTTTTAATCCACTACTGATATTGATATTTGTTGTAGTGCGAACAACCCTTTTTTATTTTCCTCTTCCAACATCTCTTTACCTTCTTTCTTCCCTCCACTTTTTATTCTCACCAAACATAGCGTCAAAAGATTGCTTATTATACGAGCTGGGAAAAGAGGAAAAATCATTAATAAAGCAACAGAAGTCCCATATTTCATAACTTAATACAATACAGCAAAGGTACGTTATTATAACAAGTATATTACACAACAAATCACAACAAAAAACATCCTCAACAACGTATCATACTAAAGCAAATCAAGCATCAGACCATGTAATATCCAAGCCACCCCAATCCTCACGACTAACGCCAAGAGCTTTCCAAACCGCTCTCGACGCGACGACGATGTTGTTGGCGCACGGAGACTGGTAATCATGCTCAGCATCACACCCCACAGATGAATCACACTCGTCAACAACCATGGCCACCACACTTCTCCCCTTAGCGCGTATGGTGATGTTGTTGAAGCACCTGCTTCCGCTGTGGAACCACCCCGTCGACAGCGCCACAACCGGGGTGTCATCGGGGTGGTATCGGTTGTCACACTCGCTGCCTGATGGATGCTTCTTGCCTCTTACTTTGCCGCTCAGACGACATTTTGAAGCTTCAACATGATGTGATGAACAAATAGTTAGAAAGAGTGATTCCCACAAGCATTAAAATGTAAGTTGTCTTTGAGATATTGGTGACGCCTTTCATTTTTCTCTAGCTAATTTTTCAGAGTGATTCCCACAAGCATTAAAATGTAAGTAGTCTTTGAGATATTGGTGACGCCTTTCATTTTTCTCTAGCTAATTTTTCATGTTGTATTGGGATTGAAATAAATTTTGTACTCTATTGTATTCGTTTCTGATAATCAAAGGCGTTATAAGAGGTAAAAAAAAAAAAGTAGCGAAAAGCTATGTCAACGTGACTATTACGGCATGAAACCAGCGGTTTTACAAAAATATTCCTATTTTTCCAACGTAACTTGTACGTTTTTTGGAGGTCAAATCACAGTGATTATGTGCAGAAATCCAAGTTTATGGCAAATACAAACAATTTTCTTGTATATAATTAGCGTAAAAGCAATTGCACATGCCATTGTTTTGGTTCATTCTCTCAACGATAAAAAGATAGATTAGGCATGGAAATATTCTTTTCTTGAGAATAATTCTTTTTTTTTCTTTTTCATTTTTTTAAGGCCGTGTTGCTAAATGCTGAAAAAGGTAGTACAGATTTTTAAATTTCAGCTGCATTTTTTCTTCAACAATTTGAGATTATAACATAAGAATTTTTATGATTTTAAAATTTCAGCTGCATTTTTTCTTCAACAATTTGAGATCATAACATAATAATTTTTATCGGCTTATTATATTTCTATCTCTATTAGCTTTTATGAATCTCTATTAGATTTTATGATTGGCCGCCACAAGATACTGAGAAATCTTATTTTATTAAAAAGCTTCATATTTAAATAGAGGGGGAAATCATCAGTAAACACACAAATAATGTGATTCGCCTCTTTATTTGCTATTTAATGCTGTTCCTATTTGTCCTATTAATGTTGCTGCTGCTGCTATTATTATTAGAAATATAAATATAACACTACCTTATTTAGTACTTATCAAAAATACCATACTCAAAAGAAGGAAAGACTGCAAATTTGTCATAGTTTAACACAAGAAAATACATTTGTTTTCCGGTAGCTATATAGCCTATATTTTATCAATTTTATTATTTGCATTTATTTTCAAAAGTTATACACTACTTTATCATATCAACAACAGAAAGACTACAAATTTGTCATAGTACTCATCAAATGATGAATCCTACTCATTCAAAAGAAACACTACAAATTTGCTGTAGTTTAAAGAAATGTATTAATTTGTTTCCAGTAGCCAATATATATAGCCAACCACTAAATGAATTTGTACAAACCAGCCTAATATAGTCCATTACAGGATCAAGAGGAGTGTACTAGAGAAAATGAAGAGCCATATTTCTAATTCAGCAGTGAGTTTTCTCATATTGCTTCTTCTTGCGACCAACTTGGTCGAAAGCTGCAAGCCTAGTGGCCGAATAAGAGGGAAAAAGCCTCCTCCAGGGGAATGCAACCAAGAGAATTACTCTGATTGCTGCAAAAAAGGCAAATTCTACAAAACTTACAAGTGCTCACCAAAGGTGACTGGACACACAAAAGCAGTCTTGACACTCAACAGCTTTGAGAAGGGTGGAGATGGTGGCGGCCCCTCAGAGTGCGACAACCAGTACCACTCCGACAACACCCCGGTGGTGGCTTTGTCGACCGGATGGTTTAACAAGATGCAAAGATGTCTCCAGAACATCACCTTATATGGTAATGGCCGGAGTGTCAATGCCATGGTTGTTGATGAGTGTGATTCAACTGCAGGGTGTGATGCTGATCATGATTATCAGCCCCCATGTCCTAATAACATCGTTGATGCTTCTAAAGCTGTTTGGAAGGCTTTGAAAGTGCCAAAGAGTGATTGGGGTGAACTTGATATTTACTGGTCTGAAGCTTAATATTGAAGAGTGTTTGTGTTATGCTTTGAAAGTCATATATAATAGTAAAAATACGTGTGTGTTGTGATTTGAGGTTGGTGTATTGTTGATTGATTACAGGATGTTAATTTCACTTTCACTTTCCCGCTCTGTTTCAAATTCTTTGATGTCTTACAACGAATTACTATTCTGAATACTCATATTTTCATTCAAAAAGAGGGGCAATTTGAGAGTGATTGTGAAAAAACATTACGGGCATGTTTACTGAACCTTATTAGAGAATCGTATTGTTTAATAATATATTAATATAATTTTTCGTATGCATATTGAATTGTATTAACTAATACGGATGATGAATTAATACGATTTTTTTTTTCAAAAATTGTAGTAAATAGCAAATTTTTGAAACTAAATTAAATAAATAATAGATTTTAAAATTATTTGAAGTAAATAGTAATTTATTGTGTAAATATTGAATTTACGACTGGTAAAAAATAATTTACGAAAAAGATCTTCTTTTTACGTAGAAAAAAAAATCTTTATACCAATCGTAAAAAAAAATTTAAGTGAATAAATCTTTTTACTAGTAGAGTGGTATGATACAATGTAGCCCACTTCCACAATAGGTAGTCGTTGAACTTCTTATTGAATTTATGGGATTACACACTCCGAACACACACTTGAAACTCTCTCAAGATGGTATGTAAATTAACAAGAGAGTAAATTTCAGCACTGCAAACTACTGTGTATATTATAAACTTGGCACCATATAAGTCTAGATCCAAAAACCTCTAGCGTTGTGGAGTGGTTGCAAACCCAATTTCTGTATTTTACACACAAAAAAAAGAGTGAAAATACGTTATCAAATAAAGCACAAAAATGAAAAAGCTGTTTTCATCTAATTCCGCAGGAAAACCTATCGATTCTTTGCTTGTGAAAAACCAGAAATATGAAAATATATTGTAAACCAACTATTTGAAATCTGGTGCATGATTCTGTTGTTTAGCTGTCATTCCGTGTGGTAGATTAATATAAAGGAAAAACGGAAAACGATACAACGTTATTTTAAAATTCAATATTCTGCAGCTGACATACAATAGTGCCCACTTTTCAAAGACTTCGCTTCTTTTTTTTTTTTTTTTCTTTTTTTTAATATACTCTAATTTTGCCACGACTCAATATCAAACTAATTGGCAGCTAGTACAGCTGCATCTCCAATGTCTTTGTGATTGGCCGCCACAAGATTCTGAATCTTTCATTTTGAGTTGAGCAAAGTTATCCAATATCGACTCAAGAAAATCATCACTAAAGTACAAAAAGTAAAGTTTGTATGGTGATATAATCAAAACTCAAATTTTACTCCGTAGCATTATTATTATCTTTATTTTGGAAACTATAGACCTCATTGCATCAGCAACGGCACTTTCTAAGGAATGTAAATCTTATTCTTAAGAAAGAATGCAAAGTTGTCATAAATTGACATTAAAAACTACGTTATAGAAGTTCCAATAACTTATAATATCATGATATGCGTGTGTGTGTGTATATATATATAGCAAGGCGCTAAATCAATTTACGCAAACTAACCTAATAGTCCATAAGTGAACCAAATATTAGAGTACTAGAGATGATGAGAGGCTATTTTTCTTCATTTGTCTGTTTTCTCATCTTACTTCTTCTTGCAAACACTTTGTCGAGCCTCGAAGCCAAAATCTGCAAGCCGAGTGGCAAAATAAGAGGGAGAAATCCTCCTCCAGGTGAATGCAATCCAGAGTACTCGGATTGCTGCAAAGAAGGGGAGCTCTACACCACTTACAAGTGCTCACCAAGGGTGTCTGGCCGTACAAATGCAGTCCTTACGCTCAACAGCTTTGAGAAGGGCGGTGATGGAGGTGCGCCCTCTGAGTGCGACGAGGATTACCACTCAGACGACACGCCGGTCGTGGCTTTATCGACGGGATGGTTCAACCATATGCATAGGTGCTTCCTGAATATTACCATATATGGTAATGGTAGGCGTGTCAATGCCATGGTTGTGGATGAATGTGACTCTACTGCAGGGTGTGATTCTGATCATGGTTATCAGCCCCCATGTCCTAATAACATTGTCGATGCATCTAAGGCTGTTTGGAAGGCTTTGAAAGTGCCAAAGAGTGATTGGGGTGAACTAGATATATATTGGTCCGAAGCTTGATTTTTATCCTGCATGTTTATCATTGCTAGTACTTGAGATTTGGAGGAGATTTAAATTGTGCTAGGAGTGTTATGTATTACATGACTATTGAGATTGGTATATTACTTATATACCATCATTTTCTTATTGAATAAATTTCATAAATTTCTCCTGAATTATGTCATTTGTGTCAATATATTTTCTGAACTTTAAAACATTACACTCTCGATCTATAATATTTTTTCAAATTTACGCCGTTAATGAATGTATTTCAATCTAAATAAATTATCAAGCTACTAAATCTTATATGTATTTTCTCCTTAAAGTAGTTGTTCAAAAGCAAAAAAAACTAGAGAAAAAAAAAAGTGGAGAGCGGGCCTGAATTCAATTGGGTTAGTTAAGAGATAAAGATATTGATAAGTTCCGCTTCCACACATCCTTCTCCGCAACAAACTCTCTTTAAAAGCTGAGTTTAGTGTAGAATTCTACCCAGTTCAAGCTGGCCCCGCCACAAGGAGACAACAATAATTGCTCAATATATTGAAAAATACATCGATAAATTTGTTTAATTAGGAAAATGCAAGAGATAATCTTAAAAATTGTTGGAAAAACATGGTTCGTGCAATTCGATTGAACGTAGGTTTTTGTCATGATGTCTTCATTATATGGCGAACGTAATAGAAAACATATGTTTTGTTACTACAGGCCTTGTGCGGATAAGAATCAGAGAAAATTACAGATATTATCTCCTTTGATAACCTGACTTACTAAAAGTACATTTTTAAAAAATTCTACCCATTAACTAGTTTTAATCTAAAAAATAAAAATATATGGACTAATGTTAAATGTTTGAAATAAAAGGGGCTCCATTTCATGAGGTATTTTTAAAAATTATCATAGGATTATTTGATTGTTAGTTTGCAATTGAAAAGACAATAAGAGAGGTTCTCTCATATTTGATTTTGGGTCATATGCAATTAGAAGCCCAGTAGAGATAACATCAAAACCAAAAAATAGAGGGAGAAATTTATAAATGCTACTCAAATGATGCAATCTTTACATTTATATCACCCGAAGGTATAAAGTTTAGATCTATATATGCTACTCAATCTACTTTAAAATATCTAATCTATTTTTATTCAGTAACATAAAGTAATATTTTTAAATTTATGTGGCATGTCATGTAATTTACTCAAAAGAAAAAAATAGAGGGGATGAAGAATGTTAAATGAGTGGTGACATTTTAATTAAATCAAAATTTATTTTTTTGTACCATGTGTTTTAGGTAATTTATTTAGAAAGTATACTATTTTTTTTATCTTGCCAAATATGTACCTTCATATTAAATTTAATATTTGAATCTATACCTACTTTCGACCAACACTTAAATTTGATCTTAAAATGTCTAAAATACCCTTGAATACGAGAGAAAAAAAAATTTAAACGAAAAGGCACCAAAAAATCTCTTTAAAAAACTAAAAAACACTTTTAAAATTTAGAATTTTCTTTCTATAATTTCAGTTTTTTTCACATTGTTTTAAAGTTTCTTTTGTTTGTTTTACTTTATGAATTTGAGGGTAATTTTGGTTTTTTCTAAAGTCAAAATCTTTTTGTATTGACCGAGAAATTGTAAGAATATTAAATCTGATTTAAAGGTGATAGTATACTTTTTGAATAAATGTAAAATACAAAGGTACAAAAAGGTAAAAATACCTTTAATTATAAGTTAAAGAGCTCCTTGAATATGAAAAAAAAAAAAAGAAAAAAAAAAAGAGAGGATCCAAATTCTATATTTACACATTTTATTGGGAGTCGGAAAAACGAAGACATAGCTAATATCTTGTTGATTAGGGCTTGCTTAAGGGCATATTTATATTTATTATTATTATTATTATTATTTTATTTTATTTTTTTGTCTTTACATGGGGATTGAAAGTATGAGGATATATCTATCCTGAAGAAGTTGCTTACTTGCTTGGGAAGAAATGCTTCATTGTCTAACTAGTATTACATTGCATTATCAAAATATATAGTAATATTACGCAGCCAATATGGGAACCTCTAGAATAACCATAGTATATATGTCGAAGATGCAAGAGAAAGCTTTATCTTTATCCCATCTACTGGAGAAAAACTTTTCTTCTCTGTTGGCGAATAGCGGTTCTTGTTCGTTGCACTCCTGTCCTGATCAGGAATGAGCAGAAACAATATGACATAGTGGAGTGACGTTAATCATGGTGGGTGGAGAACTAACAGCTAGGCGTATTGAGTAAGATAGATATTATTTTCCAACTAAGTGATGCAAATTGTTAGAAAGGATACCACAAATTCTCGTAGTAATTATAGAAGTTAGTTACATAACTATTTGTGGCGGTTAGTGTTGTTAACACTTGATGTTAGTTGCTAGTTAGTTAGACAGGTGTACAGATTTTATTGGATGTAATGAGAATTAGTGTTTTTTTTTTTTTCTAAGGTAAAGAGAATTATTTGTTAGCTGAGTTGGTTACATTTGTAATAAATATATAATAGAAACGAACAGGTATACTAATACTAGCAGAAATTACAATGAGGAAATAAAATATTACAATCAGAAATTCAACCTTAAACCGAACAGGATTTGAAAACGGAAGGACGTCAATGCTTGTGAAACTCATAATTTCCTTAAAACAAATTCGCCCTCTCCACAAATACTTGAGAATATCATCTGTCTCTCAGGATATAACGACGACGAGCAGTACTCTAGTACGAGAAGATGTACTCTAGGCAAACTCTAACTATGTCTTCTCTCTATCACCAGAGCACCTAAACATTCTAAGAACAAAACTAATGAAAAGGACGAGAAAAAACCTTCTGAATTTGTTATGGTGTTTTCAAATGCTTGAAGAATTCCTCCTTATATAGGATTCAGAATGTTGGGTGTTATAACCTTTAGAATTCAGCCCACTAATGGTCATAAACTACTGAAATAATGAGGATTCATTCTTCGGTTACAACTGTTCATTTTCCTGATGAACCTGCTCAAAAACGTGGCTAGATTCCGCCATTAACATCCACTAAAGCACATTATTATTCCACATGTTACAACCATTGGAATTATGTCATAAACCATGCACTTAAACCATGAGTTACAAGGCCATTGATATTCTGATGCACTAATGCAACAGTATTAAAGCATACTAATGCAAGGCGGTTCATATTCCGAATCAATTTTTTATTCACCATGTTTTTCCAACAATATTGCCTCTTGCTAGTATTTAAGAGCTGTTTGCACTCATTTCACTGTTAATGAAATTGAAGATCTTTACAGTAAATTAATCTTTCTTCTTTCAATTCTCTCTAGTTTCTCTTTCTTTCCCACAAATAACAGGATTCAATTTACCTGTCCAATTTTAATGTCTGACAAATGAAATCATGCCACATCATTTATAAAAAATTTAAAATGCTTTTTAATTGACTTTTTTCATGCTTTAATGTTTGAGTCTATTCAAAAACATGACAAAAGGCAATTGGTTAGATAACATTTGAAACACCAAAAATTTGACAAGTAATCTAAATCACAAATAACATGTATCATTTCATGATAAAAGAAGAATTGTATGGTATACAAACCATAAAAAAGGCTAGTATGCACTCTATAGCTATCTCCAATTTCTATAGCCACGTATCCTTACCTCATCACTTTTGAGGTAAATGTTATATATCTCCTAGCGAGGACTAAAACAAGAAATTGTCGTAGCATGGACGTAATTTATCATATGTTGTTTTTAATACACTTAAACAAATTAACGTTAAATACAATAGGTAAATTCATCTAGAGAAGCCCAGACCTCCTCCATCAGCTCCTTTTCCCTAGTGGGAATGCTAATGGGAGCATTACTATTCTTACTCAACAATCCAAAATCGACAAATTTAAAAAATTCCAATAGTTACACCTAGACACTCACGTTCAGTGTTCTTCATTTTTCTAAGTACTAATAGTTGAATTTAGAAGGAGATTATCGACATTCATATGCTAATGCAGTATGTGTATGTGATGTGGCTTTTTACGTGAGTTTTTTTTTTTATTTTTTTTATTTTTTATTTTATGTAAATGATGTTTAAAATATATTTCATAAACAGTTCGTTGTCCAAGTGTCATTTTCCCCAAATGGACACTTGGTGGCAAGTATGGAATGTTACGGCTAGCATTTGTGTAGCTACATGGAAGGTTCGTTCCTACACACACACACACACACACACACACACACATATATATATATATATTGTATATAGTAGGTCAAATTCACAATTTGATGGTGGTCCTCACAGTAGGTAGGTGAAAGATAATTCTAAAAGAAGGCAAGCTGATTGTGTTTGGTTACCTAAGTCTTATCAATTGAATTATTAAAGATTAAGAGATTCGTTCATAGCCAAAATAACCCAAAAAATAGTGAGCTAATTGGTAAAAAGATTTGGACATATATAGGAGAGGAGGTCTAATAATAATGTATGTTATGGATATGGGATTTGTGAAAGTTTAATTTTGTTACTTTTTTACACGTTTTAGGAACATTAGATATTAGGAAAAGTGTAAGCTTACAACAAGCAGCATGTGGCTCAGTGGTAAGCTGCCTCTTTTACGTTGTTGGTGTGTGGTGTTAGTATAGAATATTACTTTCAAGATTGTTAATGAGAAAGAGCTTTCAGTCTATTAAGCATTATAAATTGATTGTAAGTGTCTTTATTTTACTTGGCCTTACTAAACTAACTTTTTCATATGTCCCTACTTAAGTATCTATTCTTCTGATTGTCTAAAATAAAAGTTTTTCTCTCTTGTGTCCCCGCTTTAATATCTAATTTTCTACTTAATATTGTTTTCTCATATGTTCCCCTAAATTATTTATGAGATAATTTAATTATTTTCTTCTTAAAATATGTCTTACTTAAATAAATCTTTATTAAACAAAAATATTCTGAGAATAATACATCAAAATTAGAAATTAAACCTGAAAAATACCTTTATGTATCAGAAAATTCAATAAAAGAAATAAGTACGTGCTATCTTCCTAACATTAGACAACAACAATCATGCAGGTAATGATGTGTCCTTTCATTCAAAAGGGTGTGAGAAGAAGCCATTGGAATTAGGTTTATAAAAGAAAACCAAAAGGATGTAGCAAGTGAAAAAAGATATTAAAGCTGTAAGATGTCAAATACTTCTGAGAAACCGATCTATAGATTGAGATCTGATTGAAAAAAGATCAAACTTGCGTTACAAAAGTCTTATTGAATTACTTGCGTTACAAAAGTCTCTCAACATGATATGTAAACAAGAGAAAGTAAAACCTTATAAAGAACTTTGAAACCATGGTTGTTTGTGGCAAACAACTCTTAAAGAGTGTACATGAGATGAGGGATAGCTTGCTATACATGTTTCTCAAGCTCGGGAGGGATAGCTCGCGTATCAGTACATTTTATTGTAAAGTTTCTAAATCCTAGTTAATTTGTCATTTTCATTACATCAAAAGCTGTGTTGAAATTTCTATTCACTTTGGGCTTGATATTCTTTCTATTTTAGTTAATCAAGGTGTAAGGACTGGGAAATGAGGTATTCGTGTTTAGCCAAAAGTTTATTTTATTGTGTGTTCTTTACATTAAATTCACCAATAGACGCTTAGTTTTTAGTTCTTTTTTTTTTTTTTGGAAAAAAAATGTTATTTGCCTCTTTCTTTCAATAAGTACGTAAATAATGTGTGTGTATAAAATGGAAAGGTTCTAACCCTTTGATCTGCTTCTTAACTACTTCGGAAATTGAATTTTACAGCATCGTAATCAGGTTCCCTGCCCTTTAAAACTAATGGAACTACTATAATTACATTGCACTGTCTAGTGACCATATATAACCAAACTTGGGTGCTACAGACAGTATGATTTCATTTGTATCAACTTGTTCCAACAATTCAGACACGATAAACATCCAAAACAATAATAGATACAACATCGATTTTACAAGCACTGCCAAACAAACCCCAAATCAAAAACATTCGCAGGACCAAAAACAGAGAAAATCACAACAGTTTTGCAATCTACAACATGCTATCCGCCCTAGAGGGGAGCCGGCGGAAGAAGTTGAGCGGCATTGACGGGGTCTTCCGCCTGAACCTCGGGTGCCTCATGACGTAAAACCCGGCAAGGAGAGCCAGAACCTGGAAAGGTGTCACGTACAGCATGACGGCCGCGACGAGGCAGAACGTTATGAATATCGTTGTGGCACGCGAGTCCCGCCAGCTGAGCAGCGCCTGAAACCGCTCCCCTTGCGTGGCTATGTCGCCAACCACGGTCTGAATCCTCCCCGCGACGCTTCTCAACCGGTCATACCTCATCCGTACAATATCCGAGCCTCGGGATGTTGGGAAAGTGTCGAATTCCTCATCCAACTCATCGGCATTCACCGCATCTGCATACGAGATCCTTGTGTTCATGTGGGGAGGGTATCTCGGGCGGTACCGGAAGTTCCACAGCCCTATCAAGAACATGTAAAGGAAGACTGTTGGAAGAATAAGCTCTGGGAAGCAAACGAGCATTACAAAGAGTGCGTGTACTAGCATTGTTGTGACAGGGTTTTTCCAGGTGCAGACTTCTCCGAACCATTTTCCAACAGAGAACATTCCTGAGAAGACTGACATGAGCCGGAAAAAGTTCGCCTTGCTGCGCCTCATGCTCCAGAGATGCGAGTCCGCATCGGACATGTACTCGACAACCTCCTTCCGAAGTGAGGGCTCCGCCCTGCTGAGCCGCGCCGCCACGATGTTTACGGCCTGGTGGCGCAGCATCTCTTGCTGCATGACGCTGAGAGGCCTAATGTAGTGCATTTTCGGCAAGAGCGGCCGAGAGTACTTAAACATCATGTTAGGCAAGGATGTGCAGGAGAATCTTATCGCCAAGTGAAGCTCTCCCATCTTCTTGACGCCTGAAGGATGAAGGGCTAGCAGTGGATAAGAGTGAGTATAAACTCGGCCGGTCTCGAGTGTCGAGATTCGAATCCGGACCTTCCCAATCTTCACATCTTTGTTACCATTACCAATCAGACTGTTGTCAAAAACTCCAATGGTAAGAACCGTTGCAGGGTCAAAAACCTCCCAAGTGTACTGCTCGTTGTACTTGGGATTCAGGCTGTTGATTATAGTCCGAGTTCGAACCCACTTGTGCCCGTACTTCGCCACGCAATAAGTGTCTGACGTGCCCCTCCCGTCCCTCGACTTCATCGGATGCAGCCCGTCAGCCTTAAGAATTCCGAGCTCCAAAACCCCAATGGATGATTTCCATAGCTGCTTCGCCGTGGGGCGAAGATCACTGCTGTAGTGAGTGGACTCATCAAGAACATGGTACCCTCCATCGAGACAAAGTTGGAGATGAATCCTGCTAGAGAACTTGTCCTTGTCCTTGTCCTTCTTCACCTCAGCTTCCAAGGCGGCCGACGTCGATTTCTCGAGTGGGAACCATCTTCCGCGGATTTTTCTGTCATCAGCGCGCTTCTCAATTGTGTTCAAATGTATAACAGCCTTCCCAATAGTCTCATCTTTGTTGGGACCAACTCGATCTTCAACCGAAACAACCAGATGTTCTTCGAACGGCTCGGCGGCGACGAACATTAGATCCTCGTTCCACATAGGATTCAAAGTCCTCGCCTGAACTGGTTTAGTCCTCAGAATCTGGTTTCCACACTGAACCTTCACATAAACATCAGGAAAACGGGACTTGTCCGAAACAACCAAGTCTTGTGCCTCGACAGCATTGACTCGAAGATACCACAGTCTTGGAGAATGGTAAACTTTAGATCGGATATGGGAAATGGAAGCCGGAGCATTCTCCGTCGGGCCAATAGCGTCAGAGTGCCAGGCATCAGGAAACGCCTCATCAGCTTGCGTGCCTAACCAGACAGCAAGCATCAATTCCCCTTTCTTCTTATCCCCGTCCTTGTCCGCGAGGCGGTACCATTCGGGAGCCAAAGGACTATCCGGCGGAACACGGGTGGGAACCTCGTGGAGATCGAACCGGACCAGACCGACAAAATCATCAATTAGTACATCCTTGTCCTTGACCAAAACTTCCAAAACACTGGACTGAAGATTGTCCTTCGCAAAGGCAAACACCTCGTTCCATTCGGGATTCTGCTTCTTCTCAAAGTGCTTTGTTTTCCCCTTGTAGTTCCCCATTTTCACTTCAACATAGGGGTCAAGACTTCCGGTGACATCCTTTGCAGGAAGATCGCGGGCTTTAACAACTCGTATGAAAAGGTACTGCATCTTTTCCACAAGGTCATAGGTGCTGGTTGGCCTGTTTCCGGGTATAACTCGCCCTCCAATGATTTGCCCTCCGCCGAGGAAAGGACTTGTCTCTTTAAGCGAGTAATCAACTGGCTGGGACGATGGACCCGAGAACATCCGAACGACTTTAGAAGCCTGTGATTCGGCCTTCATCTCCTGCATTCCGTAGTTTGGTGTAGGTTGAATCACTGGCGGAGGAGCACTCTTCTTTTCGGCAGGAATACTACGAAATCTGTGTCTCGTCTCAGATTTCTCATTCGACAACAGATTCGAGACAAAATTCGGAAGTTTTGACTGCTGCGGCTGATGACCATGGTTCGGATATGAATCAGTATTGAGAGAAGTGTCTATTGGAGGAAGTGGATTTGAGGATTTTATACTAGGATCATCCGTGACAAACACTTTAAGGCCAAGCTCGCCTTTTACGCGCGACAAGAAGTGCCGTTTCTCAAGAGGGTAGTGCAAGACAACGGCATCCGAGTAGGGGACAAATGAGGTTCCCGTGAGACAAACCTTTCCAAGGAACGATTTCGAGTTGTTGTTCTTACTGTGGTTGTAGACACAGGCCTCAAGAGTGAGGTTCGACAGGTTGTTCGGATCCGAGATGTTGAAGTAGAAACTCTCATTCCAAACGGGATTCAGGTCCTTTTCTTTGGTTGTGGTTCGGAATCTCTGATGATCGAAATGAAGCTCGACGAAGGCGCTCGATGAGCCCTGCCCGTCTTTCGGAACAAGGTCATGGGCACCCACAACTTCAACCCCCAACTTGAGGTTACTCATTGGATCAGTTTGCCTACTTATCAGAATGAAGCAAATTGCTTTTTGCTGAAGGAAAGTTAAAAGAAGCAGAACCTGAAACAGAAGGAGCAAAAAGTTTTAATTAAATAAGTCTTTACATTTCAAGTGTTCATGAAAAAATATTGCCACTGAGAATTTGCATGAATTTAAGGACTATGAATTCATGGTATATACGAATAGAGAGCTTATAAAATACAAGAATTAGAAAAGAAGCTTTGTGTAACCAACTTAGTCTATGAATCATAAATCAGAAAATAATAATTAGATGGTCACTCTCAAAAAAAAAAAAAAAAAGACGGTCTGTTTCCATACTTGAGACCTTTAAGCTAAAATCCCAAAAGTCCGCAAAATAAAACTACTCTTATTTCTTTCTCCATATTTTTTTCCTTTTTAATACTTTCTAGTCTCTACAGTTTTCTTCATACAATACCCTACAAAACATACCTTAAGACTGTTTGGGTCTGAATTTATACCCCTTATTCTTAATTAATACCTTTTGAGTATATAAGATATCTCCTTTTCCCAATACCAACCAAGTTGAAGACAAAATAAACAAATTATAAATTTTGAAAATACAGAGCCGAGATACACAGAAAAATAATTCAAAAAAGAAAATCCAAGGACAGGAATCTAATTATCTTTCACTTCAAACAAAAGTAGATTCTAAAAAAAGTTGCAACACTTTAGCTTGCAAGTTGCAATTGACGTTATGAAATTACAATCCAACAAAAGAATGGGAAAAGCCAGGGCTTTTTCGGATTCTAAAGAGTATCAAGCAATCAAATTCCCTGACCTTTTTCCTCACTGATCCAAAATGAGAACAAGAAAGTAAAAAAATCCTACAAATTTCTATTTTCCTTTTCTCAATTCTATTTTCATTTTCTCTTACTCAAAGAGCACAAAAAAAAATTTGCAATAATAACATTTTTTGGCTTCATCAGGACTCAGGAGTACTGACACTTAAAATTAAAGTAAAAATAAAAAAAAATAAAAATTAGAAATGAAAGAAAATACCAATAGGGAGAAAAACAAAACATGAATAAACACATTTACTCATTTTTTGTAAAATGAAGTCATTTTGTAAATAAAAATTTTAAAAAAATTATTTTACTAATAAAACTTTTCAAAGAGTTATTTTTACACAGGCTCGATAAAATTATCGCCAATTTCCCTATGAAAATGTTTATCTAGAAATAAAAAGTAGAGGAGAAAAAAATAATAGAAAAAACAACAACAGAAGAACATCCAAAGAATATCTGATCATCAATTTTTAAAAAAAAAAAAAAAAAAGGAATATCCGATCATCCAAAGCAAAAGGTTGAACAAAAGACTGAAACTTTTGGATGCAGATAAGCTTCTTTTCGTCAACGCTTCACGTCCTAACAACCATATTTCTAAAACCTTTATCAAGTATCCTTTAGCTCTAAAACACAGAAGCAAAAATTAAAAAATAAACACGCAAGCAATTGGCAACAAAAACCCATCTAGAAAACTTCAAGAAAAAACATACAAAAAAAAAAAACTCAGAAAAGAAGAAGGCAACAGTAAAAAGGAAACGCACCTGGTTTTGAGCTTAACGATCTAAGTTGAGAAGCCGAAGACTTGTTTAGATTAAACCCTTCGAAAGAGACTCACAGAGGCTTATATAAATGAAGAAAAAGGTCAAAAAAGAAAAACACATCAAAGACAAAGACCAACAATCTTCCAGGATGTTTCCCAGAAGAGAGAGAGAGAGAGAGAGAGAGAGAGAGAAGTCGTCGGTTTGTCGAAACCGAGTTAAATGGTTGTTAATAACATTGACAGTAGATTGCAGAGAGAGAGAGAGAGAGAGAGAGAGAGAGAGAGAGGTCTTTGGTCCCACTGTGTGAGATAAATGCGAATTTTAATTGGCTCTTCTTGGCGTTTGTTTTTTGGTCTGAGAATGTTTAGAACAACCAACACTTTGAATCATACGTTTTCGAAACAAAACAGAGTCGGGGTAATTATTGTGGCATATAAAATGGGAGTTTTTCAATATTGTAGGTACTCGCTCTTCTCACGGAACACGTGTATCGGTGTATGTCTCACAGAGTGTACCATCTTTTACCCTTCTTTTTTTATTCGCACCATCAGTAACTTTGGGTCCGTTTAGTTCGCTGATTTGAGTTTTTAATTTGAGTTAAGATGTGATTTTATGTGAAAATTTTTTACTGTAGCAAAAAAGTTAGATGTAATTATTTATGAGAGCTTTTTATTATAGCAAAACTCAAATTCTAAACTCGAATCAACGAAATGAACGAGACCTTTGTATCCCCCAATTTTTTTCATTAAATAAACAGAAAAGTAGCCGTGCACTCACGTATTTAGGGGTGAAACTTACAATTAAATATGTCAAAAATCAATGACTGGATTTAGATAATTTAAGATTTATTTAATTTGTTGATTTGAGTTGAGATATAATTTTATATAAAAATTTTTTACTGTAATAAAAAAATTAAATATGATTATTTTTAAAATTTTTTTACTGTAATAAAACTTGATTCGAAACAATGAAATGAACGAGACTTCAGAGAGTTAGAATCCAATAGTAATAAAAAATAATATAAAATAAAATAGAAACAAAAACACAGAGAATTTATAGAGTTATGTCCTCTATATAGGACCTTCTGATGCTTCCATTATAATTAATGATAAATTACAATGGTGATGAGAGCAAGAAGATGAAGAAAAAAAGGGAAAATCATAATTCGGGGGAAAACTAGCCTAACTTATCTCATCTTCAAAACTTGAATCCAAAGGTAGCAGGGCTATCGAGCATGAGCTGTTTACTCATTGTGTCACGACCCGCAAACTGTCAGAAGCTCGCGGCTCTCTCTCAATGCATTTGAGTTGTTTTGGCAGACTATTTCTAGATTCGAGAGGTTGCTGACGCAATGAGTATTTTGTCATCTATTAGAGACTCACTTGACGATCTGTAACCGGCGAGATGTCAGTAGCTTGCGACTAATTACAAATGTTGATTCCATGATTGACACTCGTGTGTTGACACATGTATAGTGAGAGACAAGGTACGAACTCTAACCTTAATATATTCTATGAGATTAAAATCAAACTAAAATTTTGAGTTATTCACACCTATGCACCCGAGATTTTAGGGTCACCTCCACTTTATCTCTGAAATTCAAAAGCTCCTATTGTACTAACCCAAACTTAAAATTTATCTCATTTTGCTCCCTTGCTTCAATACGTGGTGTAATGTTAAGAGGTCGTATGACATGAACACATTGATAATAATTTTCATTGATTTGATTACTGGAGAGATAGTTTATACCAAATAGGAGTTTAATAGATCTAGAATAAGCCAACAGTTTTGTTAACAAACTGATCAAAATCGCATTGCAATGTAAGTTGCAACCCATTGATCATGAAAATAACATTAGTAAGATTCTATGTCCAAAAGTCTTTTGGCCCAGGCTACAACCTCCTTTTTAATTTATTTTATTTTTTCAAATTTTCCTTATAATGTTTCGGGCCGACCTTGGCTAGTCGGGTATTTGGGATGGCCCCGCTCAACCCGGATAAGATAACGCATTATACCAAAATTCTCATTCAGATTGGATGGTCTGAACTTGTATATTTACTTTAGAAATGTAAAATCACTTTACAGTCCAAATTATATATGGAATCTTCCCATCTAATCTCACTGGTTTCATTTAAGATTAAAAATAGACCAAAAAGTTGCATGTGAGGGACGAGAGAAGGGAAAAACAACGGTCCCATTTTTTCATATATTTAAATTGCAATTTAATATTTTTACTGCAGTATTTTTTCTCATAAAAATTTAAATTTCAGTTTAAATTTTCTACTCAAATTCATGACCTGCTTTCTTTGAGAATGAGGTAAAAGTAGAATAAGTGTAAAGTTTGAAGAGCAAACATAAAAAGAATCCTAAATCTTTTAAGCATATATCTAAATGAATAGTCAATTAAATTAGAATAAAATTATAAATTCAATTAAAATTATCCTTAAAAACAATTAAATTAAAATATATTGAAGAATAAAAAAGCGGCTAAATAAATCAAAATTTTATTTTCATCTCAATTAATTTACGTGCAAAAAGTGTGAATATCCAAAAATCCATTTTGATATATATAGATACAGTAAGCAGTCCTATATTCTTTAGAAATCCTCATTAAAAATTCTCATACCTGACTTGAGGATAGAGTTGTAGTGGGCCGACCGAATCTCAACATTTTAGTCCGAATCTGCGTAAGGACTCGGGTAATTTGATAAATACTTTTAGGGAGAAAGAGGGAAATAGATCAAGATTTGAGATGAATTAAAATTAATAAGTTAATAATTTACATAAGTTAATAAATATGCCAAATTATTATTTTTGTTCATAACTTGTCTGGTTATGAACCATAACTTAACAAATTATTGTCCACAATTCACAGTTTTTATCAATAACTTGTCTGACTATTAACCATAATTTGACAAGTTTGTCCATAACTTATTTGGTTATGAATCATAACTTGACAAGTTATGGCCTATTAATTTCTATAACTAAAAATTGGCCTATATACTTTCTTAAGCTTTTCATATTGACATATTTTCTACTATTTCTGATATTTTTAAAAGTACATGAGTCACGATTTTTATCCTTTATTTTTGATTCATAATTTTTTTAGTCAAATAATTACACTAACAAAATGATATTTATTAAGAGTAAGGAGTAAAAATCTAGACTCATGCACTCTAAGTGGATGTTTAGTTCATGAGTTCAGAACCATGATTCAGAACCATTCTCAGTTTACGTGTATTTTTTGTCAGAGAAAATATTTTTTGTGAGAGAAAATACTATAATAAGTTACGAACTATGATATGAATTATGACACAAATCCATAGTATAAGGATAAGTTTAATAATTTTCTCACCCTAAAAGTTTATTCGACTAAACCTGATTAACCATTATTCATTTTATTTTTAATTTTCCTTATAAGTATCAAGTCGGCCCGATCTTGGCCCGTCAGGCATTAGAGTCGGATGGAGCTAACCTCCCCCAGCTAGGGGTGGCAATTCGGGTTGGCGGGTCGTGTTCGTGTCGTGTTGACCTCTTCAGTTGACACGAATAGGTCTGACACGAACACGACCCGTTTATTAATCGTGTCGAAATACAAAACTCAAACACGATCCGTTTATTGGCGGGTTGACACGACACGACACGAATAACCTATTTATTAAATAGGTCATAAACGTGTCGTGTCAACCTATTGATTACCTGTCAACCTGTTTATAAAATGGGTGATAAATGGGTCGTGTTAACCTATTTATGAACATGTTTATAAAATAGGTGATAAATGGGTCGTGTTAACCTATTTCTGAACCTATTTTTTAACATGTTTATAAAATAGGTAATAAACGGGTTGTGTATTCGTGTTACCCAAATATGACACGTTTAATAAACGGGTTATGACGGGTCAATTGTGGGTTGGCGGGTCAACCTGAAAATGACATGTTATTTAATCGTGTTTCACGGGTTCGACCTGATTTTGACCGTACCTATTTATGATAAACCCAAACCCGTTAATTTCGTGCGTGTTTCGAGTCGTGTCATCGTGTCACTACCCGGATTGCCAGCCCTACCCCCAGCCCAGTCTGGTCTAGAGATGTCAAATGGGACGGGCTGTCCATGGACGACCCGGCCCAACCCGTAATAGTGCCGGGTTTGGCACGGCCCGGTCTGCTACTGTTACGGGTCGTGCCGGCCCAGCACGTGTAATGGGCTAGGGTTGGGCCTCGGCTTCTCAGCCTGCGGCCCAAGCCCGTGAAGACCCACGGCCCAGCCCAAGCCCAGTTCGGCCCAAGCCCAGATTCGGCTCTAGTTCGGCCCGGCCCAGGCCCGCAAAACGGGCAATTCTAAATGCTACCGTTGGGCCTTCACGGGCCCAACGGTCGGCCCACGACAGGCCTCCCGTTTGGCCCGTCACAGGCCTCATTTAGCCTGTGATGGGCCTGCCGTTAGGCACGTCATGGGCCAGCTGTTGGGCCCGCCAAGGGCCCAACGGTAAGAATCCAAAAATGCTCAAAAAATCTCCTATAAATATCCCTTAATTCCACCATAAATCCCACACAACAATTCACTCTCAACTTCTCATCTCACTCTCATTCTATCTCTCATCTTATCTCTTTGATTTTGATTCTAAGCTTTTTCTCGCGATCACTCATTTTCTTGCTCTTTCATTCACAAAGTTCATGTTCAATCAATTTTCAGAAAATGACCGCATCAAACTTCCCTAATTTCACTGCTCTTCCTGAGCTTGGTGATGAGACATTTTTTGAGGATGAAATGATGCCTCCCAACCCCACCCTCACTAAACCAGAAAATGCTCCGGTAGATAATGCTTCAGTGCACAATGAGGAAGCTGGAGAATGCAACAGGGGAAAAAGGCCGTGAACTTCTCCGGCATGGCAGCATTTCACCGAGGAGCCCTAACTAAATCTAAAAACAGGTGAAATGGAAATTCGTGCGGTATGTAAATATTGTAAAAAACACTTTTCTAATAAAAAGGGTAGGGTATTGGTCATCTGGATAGACATTGGAAAGTATGTCTACCATTGCACCAAGGTGGGAGTGTGGACTCCCGCCAACAAACACTATCACTCACATCACAGGGGTTATAAAATTTTACATACGATGCACAACGTGCTCGTGAGGCACTACTTGAATTTCTAGCTAGTGCCAAATTGCCTCTTTCTTTTGCAGATGATGCGTTGTTCGAAG